CAAAGCTGCTCAGCTTTGGTCATCCAGAAGGTCGCTGAGCTGCGGGCTCGGCCCCCCGCCGAGCGCTCGTCCAGGGCCCGCAAGTCGTCCGCGATGGGCCCCCAGATCGGCAGCTCAGTCGGGCAGGGATGATCGAAGGTCACCCTGCGGTCCTGGGGCAGCCCTGCCTTCGGGAAGGCGGTGTCGGAGGCCGCCTGCGCCCGGCCCGCCGACGGCGCGAAGCCCATGGGCGTGGCGTGGTGGAAGGGGTGGACCTCGGCAGCCCCTCCCCGTGGATCAGGCGCAGGCGGGTGGGCCATGTGCTTGCGCCAGCCCTTGCCGATGGCCAGCTGGTGGAAGTAGCGCCGCAGGTCGCGCTTCCAGAGCTTGGCCCGCGTCCCAGGGGGCGTCTTGACCACGCGCAGCCTCGGGGGGCGTGCAAAAGTCGGGCGAGGGGGGGCGGCGGGGTCCAGCAGCCAACTGGTTCCCTGGCGAGTCCGAGATCACCCCCTGCTCCGTGTCGGACTTCCTCACGCCGAAGGCCCCGGCAACGAGAGGCACGCCGCGATGCTTGCGCACTCTCTTCTTGGAGCCGTGCCTCTGGGGGCCCGCGGCCGCGTTCCGAGCGACGAGTCGTGGGTAGCCCGCCAGCGCGCGAGGCCTCTTAAACCTGGCGGGCCGCTGATCCGCGCTCAGAAGGAGAGGGCGCGGGCGACGGACCTGGTCTGCAAGCCCAGGGGGATGCTCGCCCAGCAGGCCCGCCAGGTCGACGGTGGCGGCGTGATCGGGGCCCCCCCCGCGCTCGCCAAGGGGCTCCGCGACGCACTTCAGCGGCTCGTAGCCGTCGCCGTGGCGCAGGAACTCTTGAATTGCGGCAGCCTCAGGCCAAGCCAACTCGGCCTCGAGGAAGCAGAAGACGCCCGTCAGCATGCGCCTTTGCACGCGTCGCTGGGCTTGCGTCGGCGCAGTGTTGTAGTCACCGACGGCTCCACGCAAGTCGTTGATGCCGGTGATGCACATGTCGCCCCAAACCGAAACTGCGCCCCGGTGCCTGCGCCCGAACTTTGCGAGCTCGACGTCGCGACGCCGTAGCAGCGGGACTGGGGAGATCTCTGGCGAAGCTCGGCCGAACACCACCAATCGAGGCCGCCCGAAGTGCCCCCGACGGAGAGGCGACCCCAACAGGCCGCCCGCGAAGCACAGCCAGTCGCCAAGACCGACCACGACGGAAGCGACGGAGGCGTCCCGGCCCCCGCGGCGCAGCCACCTCTGCCGCGCCCTCCGCCACCTCGTCGCATGGTGAGCTTGAGGAGCCCGCCCGCAGCGACTCCTCCTCCCGTGCCCGTCAGGAGCTCCACGGCCTCGGCCTTCTCCCACGAGCCCCCCTTTGACTTTGCCCGCTGGATGGCGATGATGCGCTGGGGCAGCACGTCCATCGCGGTGGCCAAGTCTTGAGTGTTGATCAAGTCCGTCACCAATGCCAGCGTCTGCGCCTCGCGCTGGTCCCGCAGCTCGGTCAGGCCCGCGTGGGCTTGCGCCCAGGTCGTGACGGGCGCCTGGCGCAGCTGCTTGGTCTCCGCCAAGCGCCCGTGGCTCAGCTTGTGGTGCGCCAGCGCGAGGAAGTAGCCAGACAGCGCCCCCGGGTGCTTGGCCGCGGACGCCAGGTCCCCCTTCGCCTTGAACTTCTCGGTCTCCAGCTTGCGCTCCTGGGCGGGGTCCACGCGGCGGCTCTTCGCCCTGGGCCTCTTCCACTGCAGGTGCTCGCTGTCGCTGGAGGTGCTTCTGCTGCCGCTGGCGCTCGACGAGCCGCTGGAGTCGGACTTCTTTTTCTTCTCCTTTTTCTTCTTCTTGTCGTACTTCGAATCCTTTTTTTTTTCTTCTTCTTCTTCTTCTTCTTGTCCTTCGAGTCCGTGACCCCGCAGCCGCTCTGGATCTGGCTCTGGATCGTGCGCGCCTCCTGCAGCATCTTGGCCAAGTCCAGCGGCGTTGCCGCCGTCCCCGCCCCTGCCGCAGCGTATGGCGCGGCCGCCGCCGCGAAACCCAGACCCGCGGCAGTCGCGGGTGCCGCCCCGCCCGCGCCTGGTAGCAGGGGCCGCAGGCCCCGCGGCCGCCCCCGCGGGCGGCGCGGCGACCAGGGCGCCACCTCCTGGCGGCGGGGGCGGCCCGCCCGCAGGCATGAAGGCTGCTGGGGCTGGCTGCTGCGACCCCGCATCCGTGGCGACGCCCGCGGGCAGCACCGTCGTCGAGATGGCCGCGTCCACGCCCTGGGCCTCGAGGCGGAGCGCTGCCCGCTCGGCCACGCTCGGGTCCCACTGCCTCGCTGCGTGGGGCGGCTCGCGCGCCCAGTTCGCCGAGCCGATCGGGACACCGAGCGGCGGCGAACGGGGCGCCCCCCCGCCTGGGACCACTGCAGCTCGAAAGCGTCGGGGAAGCAGCCGAACCAACACCCGCACGAAGGACGTGTCCGCGTCGTCGGTGGTGAGCCCGAGGCTGAAGTCTTTCGTCATCACCTGCCCGAAGATCAGCACCTCGTCCCACTCGCCAACGCGCGACACCAGCACCCAGCACGGCGCTGCCGCGCCCACGGCCACGCCGCCCGCCAGCGCCATCTCCACCAAGGCGTACTCGAGAGCGGTTGAAGCAGCTGCGAGTTCGCGTCGTCGTACGCCCTCGGCACGCCGAGCCTCGTGACGACCACGCAGCCCCCCGACGAGGCCCGCGCCGCAGCTCCAGCAAGCGGCCGCCCTGCGGCCAGCAGCCCTCCGGACCGCACGCGCGCCCCGCGCCAGGCCCCCGCGGTGCTCCCAGGCGGCAGCCGCCGCGGAGCTCGCCCAGCCCCAGGCAGAGGCGGCCTGGGCGCCTCGGCCGAGCGCGACGACGCCGCGCGCCCCCGCCAGGCCCACGGCCTCGGCAACCTCGGGCCCGAAGCGGGCGGCGCCCAGCCAGGTCGCCTGGCTCCAGAACAGCGCGACCGACCCGACGAGGAGCGCCGATCGCGAGCACGGGCTGAGCTCGGTTTCGCCCGTCGTGGTGTCACCAACGATCGCCGTCGCACTGGGCCAGGCGATCTTGAACCAAATGATAACATCATACATCAAAGCTATCCTGAAGTCGAGACGAGGCTAGATGAGACAACTGGCATCCCGAAAACCATCTAGCAATCTTTGGCTATGTGCATATGCATGTATACATGTGTATGTATGTATGTATGTATGTGGGTATGTATGTATGTATGTATGTATGTAGGTAGGTAGGTAGGTCGGTAGGTAGGTATGTGTGTATATAGATATAAATATAGACGGTGCATGCATGCCTAACTTTATCAGTCAATGTATGTATATGTAACTTTTGTATGTGTATGCCTAATCTCAACATATGCGTGTGCCTAAGTTTAACAGACAATGTTTGTATATGGCACGAAGCGGAGTGTCTTCAGGCCCCCCCCTTGCGTTCTCTGTATGGAATTCTGTATCTATTCTTTGCGGGGCCCACAACCTGGAGTTACGGGCGCTCTCGGGGGGACACCCGCGTGACCTTCGCGGAGGCGAAGAGCGCGTTGTTCGGGACACGCGCGTCCAACATGGCGTAAGAGGGTGCCGAATACCTTACTGGAGCCTTCTTGGGCGCCTCCTGAGGCGTCTTGGCTGCCCTGGAGGGCAGCCCAAGAGGCCAGACTCGTCAACTCTTTTGGTTTCTGCATGGTTTTGACATTACCAGCTTTGTGGTCTTCAGAGCGTCCAGGACTGCCCAAAAGGCGCCCAAAATCTCAGATCAAAACGGCCCAGGAGTCCAAAAGAGGGGCCCAATAGGCCCCCAAGAGGGGCTCAACGATCCAAGAGGCTTCCAAGACGCCCAAGATGGCCTCCAGGACGGCCCTGAAACGCCCCAGAGGGCCTCAAGTCGTTTCAGAAAGGCCTCCAAGGCAGCTTCCGACGGCGTCAGACCGGCCAGGAACGCCCTAAGACGACCAAAGAGCCCCCCAAGAAGCCCCCAAAGGCCCCCAAGAGGCCCAAGGAGGCCCCAAAGAGGCCTCCAAGAGGCCCCCATGAAGCTCTCAGGAGGGCCCAAGAGTGCCCCCAGAGGCTCCCGAGATGCCCCCTCCTCCTCCTCCTCATCTTCCTCCTCCTCCTCCTGATCCTCCCCGCCATCCTCCCCCAAGTGTTCCCCGAAGGGTTTCCACAACAGCTGGGGGACATGGTCCGATAGCTAGATAAAGCTCTGGCCACAACGTTCGGCCACGTGGGCGATTCCAAAAGGCAGGGGGTGGAGGTGATTCGCCGTAGGAGTCTTCGATATACTTATCAAGCCCTTACAGACAAGCTATCTAAGGAAACTCCGCTGGGTGCCCAAGGTTGTCGGGGAATAAGGCGTTTCCGTGGGTCTACTTCTGACAAGCTGGTTGATTTTTTGGCGTGCCTACTTTTACATGTAGAGGCTGCCCAATGGGCCGTCCGAGTAGACGGTGTCGGAGGATCGTGCCGCATCGTCGATGCATCGGCGACGTTGTCATAGAGAAAACCGGGATCAAGATCGAGCCGCATCGCCGGTGCATCGGCGATGCGGGGCGATCCTCCGACCCTATCCGCTCCGATCATATCTGGGCGGTCAGAATATGAGAGGAGGGTGCGGGCAAAATCGGAGAGCCAAGGGAATGGAGGATACTGTACCGAGACGGTGAAAATAAACAATTTGGAAAGAGTTCCGCGATTACGGGCGTCGACCTACGGAATATGAGGCAAGGGAGTGGGGGAAAATGGGACCAAGACGAGTGGAACTTCGATCATAAACATCTGCCGGCTTCGCCCCTGTCGCGCTCCGCGCGCCAGTGAAGGGGGTCCAGTGACCAGTCTTCTACGAGGAAAGGGAGGCGTCGACGAAAGTTACAACGCTGCAGCATCGCTGCGCTGCTTCCCCAAGCGCAATGGCGGAGATGCGCGCCAGCGTGACGGGACAAGGAGGCTTAGGGCAGAAGGGGTGGGGACGGGTGGAGGGGATGGCGAGGTAAGTGACCTCCTCTCGGCCCCCCAGAAGAGCAGTCGGGCAGTCGGGTCTTTCAGCGCGGTCTCGACCTGTTCGAAGTTGCCGACGTCCACAAACGTACAGCCCCAGTTGAACTTCTTCACCGTCTTGCCGAACTGGGTGAGGCTCCCCCCGTACAGCCTGTTGGAGGCCACGATGGTGTCCCCAGGCTGCATGAGCGCAAAGAGCGTCAGGATCTGGGCTGCGTGGCCGGACGAGCGGCGGCGCGCCCAACGGGGAGGGGGAGGGCACAGGCGGTGGGCCCTCCTTGAACCAGCTTCGGAGGGGCTCTCTGGGCCTTCTGAGCAGCCTCCCGAACCTTCTCCGAAGCGGGAAGGAGAAACGCCATACGCATAAACTTTTAGCGCTCCGCGCGGATTTCTTGGATCTGCGCCGGACCCCCTCCCTGGCGCGCGGAGCGCGCCAGGGGCGGCGCCGGAGGCGCCGCCAGGGGGGGGCCCAGCGCGGATTCAAGAAATCCGCGCGGAGCGCCGAAAGTTTACGGTAAGTTCGCGTAGCGACGAACCCAGCGTTGGTCCCTGACACTGTGTGGATCGTTCAACCTTTGAGCGATCGGCGGAGTTTCGATCGCCAGATCGCTCCATATTGGCCGATTCTCGGCTACTGGCGGCGTTCAACCTTGAACGCCTGAGGCGGGGTCGCCGCCGCGTCGACATGACACGAAGCTGCCCTATGTCAGCGGCGTTGCTTCTTCTTCGGGAAGCCGCAGCGGGGCCTCCGCAGAGGGCCAGAGGGCTCCCGCCGAAGCCCCGCGGCCCTCCGGGAGGGCCCGCCCCCTCCTCCTCCTCCTCCTCCTCCATTTTTCCTCCTTGTAAATAACTTATCCCTGTCGAACCCCGAGGCCAGTTTTTGGGGCGGGCCGGGCGTTTCGCCTTAGACTCTCACCATTTATGGTTCTGAAACTCACAGAATGGCAGCAGTTTCGCAGGTGGTTTTCAAAATGTGGCTCTCGCCAGAGCGCCGCGTCCATTCATCTTCAACATTTGCAAGAGTTTCGAAGGCGGGTGGCTTTCAAAATATGGCTCTCACCTTAGCGCCGCGCACACTCCTTTTAAAACTTTGCAAGATTTTCACAGATTGAGGGCGAATGGTTTTCAACATGTGGCTCTCACCTTAGAGCCGCGCGCATCTGTTTTCAACATTTGCAAGTGTTTCACGGATTGAAGGCGGGTCGATTTCAAAATGCGGCTCTCGCTTTAGCGCCGCGCACATTCGTGTTCAAAAATTGTAAGAGTTTCACGGATTGAAGGCAGGTGGTTTTCAACATGTGGCTCTCACTGTGGCGCCGCGCGCATTCGGTTTTTAAAACATTGCAAGAGTTTCGCGGATTGAGGGCGGCTCCTTTTCAACGTGTGGCTCTCGCATTAGCGCCGCGCACATTCGTTTTCAAATTTCGCACGAATTTCAGGGATTACCATGACCAGCGTACCAGAAATTGTGTTTTGGAAGGACTCAGGATTATGCGGGTGCAGCAGTTATGTTGATTCGCGGTGTTGAAATCTTCAAAACAGCATTGTGGCACGATTCCAGATCGTCAGGGCGCAGCAATCAGGTTGATCCGTGGCGTGGAATTCCCGAGAACAATGTTTTGGCATGCTTCAAGGTCTTCAAACGGTTGTCTTCCAACAAGGGAATCGCCTCAATGGAAATGAAGCGTTTGCCTATGAATAGGGAGCTTGGAGGGAGGGTTCGTTCCAGCATCGTTGGTGACTCTTGTGTTTACACTGGTCCTCCTCCTCCTCCTCGTCCTCGTCCTTCCCCTCCGCCTCCCCTCCCTCTCCCTTCCCCTCCCCCTCCGCCTCCTACTCATCCCCCGCCTCGGCGCGCCGCCGCGAGGAGGTGCACGTACCTCCGCGGCCGCCCTCCATGTTCGCCAGGCGCTCCTCCAGAGGCCTCCCAGACGGGGTCCGAGTGGAGGGGGTCGAAGGATCGCGCCGCATCGCCAGCGCGTCGCCGATGCATCGGCGATGCATCGTCGACGTCGCCGATGCATCGGCGACGTCGGCGTGGGGAAGCACGTGGTCCACACCGAGCCGCATTGTCGGCGCATCGGCGACGCGGCGCGATCCTCCGACTTCATCTGCTCGGACCCCATCCAGGAGGCCTAGATCCTCGAGCACGGAGACGGTGGGGTTCGACAGGCGGCTGTAGATGTTCCCGAAAGTGGAGAGGTTGAAGAGCGACGCCGCGTGCTCGACGTCCTGGCCCCGCACGCCACAAAAGGGCCGGGGCCCCAGGGGCGGCCCCGGCCTGTCGGGATGGCACGGGGGGCTCATGGGGAACAGCTCGGCGGGTGAAGGCGGGCGAGAAGGATGTCACGATGCGGCTGGCTCGTCGTCGGCGAGCACAGGGGGGGGGAAAGCAGAGGGGGTGGGCCTTCCCAGAAGGCTCGGAGGGCCTCCGGGACCTTCTGACAAGATTTTTCGAAGCCTTCTCCGAAGACAGAGGCGGCTTCTCAGAAGGCTTGAAGGCTTCTGAGAAGCCCCGCAGCTTTCCGAGAAGGCCTGCCCCTCTCGCTTCCCCCTTGGACTCACCGCCGAAAGATGGCCTTTCTTTTTCTTTGAAAAGCTCGGGAACTGATGTGTTGGCATGGTGGAACTGGTTCCTGAAGGAAACGGGTCCTAGACTCTGGGGCCTTCCCCCAGAACGATATATTCATCCTGAGTCGTTTTCTGACAGGTCCTGGGCCCCATAGGGTCTCGAGAAGCCAAAACGGGCGAAAAACATCAGGACCCGCTTCCGTCAGGACCCATTCCCCCATGGCGAGTGTAGGACGAGAATGATGCCATGATGCGATGGCCGGCTCAGGAGGGGAATCCTCGACCTGGAATCGGCGATGCACGGCCGATAAAACGGCTATGTTGTCGCTGTCGCCGCCCCGTCGCCGCCCGTCGTCTGGGTTGGTGTGGCGGTCTGGCGCTATGTCGCCGACGTCGCCGTCCCGTCGCCGCCTTAGAGTGCACAACGTCCTTTAAACAAAAGAATAATCTCCACCACCTTCCCGAGGCCAGACTTATCGGTCCCCCCCTGGGACTGTGCAATTTACATGTGACTCTGCCCCATCGTCCATCCGAAATAATAACTCATACCATCCCAGCCGAGCCGGTATCCCCCCTTATCCTCTGCAAAAAGCGCTACTATGCGCGCGCATTCGCTTATAATATATCATTCATTTTCATACCCCCCTTGCAAAACAAATGGGCGAAGTGCACACGAACGCGTTGTCGCGCGCGCGCGTGCCAAAATCCTTCAACAACCTTCCGTCTCGTAGAGGTTTTTAAATCGAATGCCCCAAAAACGTCTAAAATCACATGGCTTCGCAACGAGGATCTGCCCCCAAAGCTTGCGCGCCCGGTCTTGCGAAATCTTAAGCAAACCATCGGTTTTTCATTATTTCACAAAGTGCTACCAAACGGGCTTCGCGCGCGCATGTCGAAATCGTTCGAACGCCCTTGCGCGCGTGCCGTCGCGAGAATCCTTTGCAACAGATGGAACGAAATGCGCGCGCGTCGTCGCGCGCGCATGCCGGAACCCGTCAGAAACCTTATGTTCCGCAGCGATTTCACAACCTAGTGTCCAAAAACCAAATATAAACACATGGCTTCGCAACAACAATTTTCAAAAAAACGTGCGCTCGCGCCCTTGTCAATCTTGTATATAACAACAAGCAACTTCTTCCTCGTTGTCATGGAATTCCGCCAAGCGGGCCTCTGGCCGCGCATGGCGACATCATTCGCACGCCCTTGCGCGCTGGGGGGGGGGGGGGGCACGATCCGTGTCAAATAGTACGATGCGGGCCACTCTCGCGCGGCGGCCGCGCGCGCATGTCGAACTCTCTCCAACATCTTCATCACCGATGCGAGGACGCCGTCAGACTTGTCGGCGTGATCAACATCGTCGCCCGCACTGGCCGCGCCGTCGTCGTCAACATCGCAACCATATCGCTACTATCATCATCGTGTCTAGCGTTGTCGACGTTGCCATGATACCGCGCCCGCCTAAGTCGCCGACTCGCACTGAAGTGCCCGCTGGGATGTGCCCAGCGGTCAGCGCCACCGCGGCCGCGTCGGTCGCGCCAAACTACCTTGCCGCTGCGCGCGCGTGCTTGGGTTGGCGCAGAAATGCACCAGCCAACGCCGAGCAATCATCGAAATCGCCACCGCATAGTTTTTGCAAGCCAAATTGCGGGTGGGCGGGTGGGATGTTTGCAAGAGCATGGGACGTGTCAACTCGTTTGTAAAAGACCAATTCTCCTTTCTAGAAGACTAATAGATTCTCCCCCCTCCCCCCCCCGGACTTATCGCCTCCCCCCTGGGATACTATGATTTCATATATATTCTGCACACTCGTCCATCCTAAATATGAAATCATACCATCCCGGCCAGGCCGGGTTCCCCCCCCTGAGGTTCCCTTGTTAAAAAAAGAATATGCGGTGACATTTTTTGTTCCAGCATAACACTTGTGCACGAATCCCTTGCAAAACACAGGACGAAGTGCACACGCGCGCGTCGTCGCGCGCGCATGCCGAAATCCTTCAAAAACCTTCGGTGCCGGAAGGATTTGGCAATCGAGTTTCCAGACAACATACAAAAACACAAGGTTTCGCAACACTGATTTGCTAAAAAAGCTTCCGCGCGAGCTCTTGCGAAATCTGAAGAAAACCATAAGTTGTTTCAAGACTTTCACAAGATCCTATTAAAAGGGCTTCGCGCGCGCATGTCGAAATCTGTCGAACGCCCTTGCGCGTGTGCCGTCGCGAGAATCTTCTGCAAAAATGGGACGAAGTGCAGACGCGCGCGTCGTCGCGCGCGTATGCCGAAAACCTTCAAAACCCATCGGTTTCGGAAGGGTTTCAAAAATCGTGTGTCAAAAAAACCTACAACAACCCAAGGTTTCGCAACACGCATTTTCAACAAAAGCGTGCGCGCGCGCTCTTGCGTCGTCGTCGTCGTCGTCGTCGCCGTCTTCCCTCTCCCGCGTCGTCGTCGTCGTCGCCTACGTCGTCCTCTGTCTTTTCTCGTGTTCGTCGTCGTCGTCCTCTTTGGCGTCGTGGTCGTTTCCGTCGTCGTTGTCGCCGTGGTCGTCCTTCCTCCTCCTCCCACGTCGTCGTCGTCGTCCGTCGTCGGCGTCTCGTCGTCGTCCCTCCTATTTCGTCGCCGTCGTCGTCGTCGTCGTTGTCGTCGTCGTCTTCCCTCCTCCCTCGTCGTTGTCGTCGTCGGCGTCGCCGTCCTTCCTCCTTCTTCGTCGTTCGCGTCGTCGCCGTCCTCCCTCCTCCCTCGTCGTTGTCGTCGTTGTCGTCGTTGTCGCCGTCGTCGTCCTTCCTCCTCCCTCGTCGTCGCCGTTCGTTGGTCGTCGTCGTCGTCGTCGTCGTCGTCGTCGTCGTCGGCGTCGGTGCCGTCGTCGAAGTCGTCGGAGACGTCGTCGGTGTCGTCGTCGTTGTCGTCGGTGTCGTCGTAGTCGGTCTTAACAGGTTTTGCAAACCAAGTTGCGGGTGGGTGGGTGGGATGTTTGCGCGAGCAGTGGAGATGACGACTTCAAGTTCAGCAGAGTGGATTCTCCTTTCTAAGAAGATATAGACTCTACCCCCCCCGGACTTATCAGCTCCCCCTGGGATAACGCTTCCCCCTGGGATAGCATAATTTCATATATATATATATGTATATATATATATATATATGATATATATATATATATATATATATATTCCTGCACAACCTCGCAATTCCTAATATGAAATCGTACTCATCCCGCTAGCCGTTTCCCCCCCTGAGTTCCCTTGGTAACAAAAACCTGGCGTGACATTTTTTTGTTCTTAAACGAGCACTTTGTTCGCGGAATCCCTTGCAAAAAAAAAAAAACGAAAGCGCACGCGCGCGTCGTCGCGCGCGCATGCCCGAAATTCTGCGCAAGGTGAGGTGTCCGAAGATTTCGCAATCAGATCACGTTCGCGTATAGGTTCCAAAAAACATGCAAAAGCACATGGTTTCGCAACACTGATTTGCTAAAAAAGCTTCCGCGCGAGCTCTTGCGACATCTTAAGAAAACCATAGGTTTTCAAGATTTTCACACAATGCAACCAAACGGGCTTCGCGCGCGCATGTCGAAATCTGTCGAACGCCCTTGCGCGTGTGCCGTCGCGAGAATCCTCTGCAAAAAACGGGACGAAGTGCAGACGCGCGCGTCGTCGCGAGCGTATGCCGAAAACCTTCAAAACCCATCGGTTTCGGAAGGATCTCAAAATCGTGCGTCCAAAAAACCAACAACAACCCAAGGTTTCGCAACACGGATTTTCAACAAAAGCGTGCGCGCGCGCTCTTGCGTCGTCGTCGTCGTCGTCGTCGCCGTCCTCCCTCCTCCCGCGTCGTCGTCGTCGTCTACGTCGTCCTCTGTCTTTCCTCGTGTTCGTCGTCGTCGTCCTCTTTGGCGTCGTGGTCGTTTCCGTCGTCGTTGTTGCCGTGGTCGTCCTTCCTCCTCCTCCTCCCTCGTCGTCGTCGTCGTCCGTCGTCGGCGTCTCGTCGTCGTCCCTCCTATTTCGTCGCCGTCGTCGTCGTCGTCGTTGTCGTCGTCGTCGTCGTCGGCTTCCTTCCTCCCTCGTCGTTGCCGTCGTCGGCGTCGCCGTCCTTCCTCCTTCTTCGTCGTTCGCGTCGTCGCCGCCCTCCCTCCTCCTTCGTCGTTGTCGTCGTTGTCGCCGTCGTCGTCCTCCCTCCTTCCTCGTTGTCTTCGTTGGCGACGTCGTCGTCGTCTTCGTCGTCGTCGTCGTCGTCGGCGTCGTTGTCGTCTTCGTCGTCGTCGACGTCGGCGTCGTCGTCGTCGCCGCCGTCGTCGTCCTCGTCGTCGCCGTCGGCGTCGTTGACGTCGTCGTCGTCGTCGGTGTCGTCGTTATCGTCGTCGTCGGCGTCGTCATCGTCGTCGTCGTTGTCATCGTCGTCGTCGTCGGCGTCGGTGTCGTCGTCGTCGTCGGTGTCGTCGTCGTCGTCGTCGTCGTTGTCGGCGCCGTCGAAGTCGTTGGAGACGTCGTCGGTGTCGTCGTAGTCGTTGTCGGCGGCGTCGTCATCGTCGTTGTCGCTGTCGTCGTCGGCGTCGCTGTTGTTGCCAAGTGCCATGTGGTACCCACCGTCACGGTCTTAAGAGATTTTGCAAACCAAGTTGCGGGTGGGTGGGTGGGATGTTTGCGCGAGCAGTGGAGTGGACAACTCACTGCGAACAGAAATTCATTCTCCTTTCCACAAAGAGAATAGACTGTACCCCCCCCGGACTTATCGCTTCCCCGTGGGATAATATAATTTCATGCGTATGTTCTGCACACTCGTCCATCCTAAATATGAAATCGTACCATCCCAGCCAGGCCGGGTTCCCCCCCCCTGAGGTTCCCTTGTAAACAAAACACTATGCGGTTACATTTTTTGTTCTAACATAGCACTTTTTCCGCAAATCCCTTTCCAAACATGGGACGGAATGCGCACGCGCGCGTCGTCGCGCGCGCATCCCGAAATCCTTCAACAACTTTCGGTGCCGGAAAGATTTCGCAATCGAGGTTCCCAAAAACATACAACAACACATGGTTTCGCAACGCTGATTTGTGAAAAAAGCTTCCGCGCGAGCTCTTGCGAAACCCTAAGAAAACCGTCGGTTTTTCAATATTTTCACAAAATGCTACCAAACGGGCTTCGCGCGCGCATGTCGAAATCTGTCGAACGCCCTTGCGCGTGTGCCGTCGCGAGAATCCTCTGCAAAAAATGGGACGAAGTGCAGACGCGCGCGTCGTCGCGGGCGTATGCCGAAAACCTTCAAAACCCATCGGTTTCGGAAGGCCTCGTCGTTGTCGTCGTCGGCGTCGCCGTCCTTCCTCCTTCGTCGTCGTTCGCGTCGTCGCCGTCCTCCCTCCTCCCTCGTCGTTGTCGTCGTTGTCGTCGTCGTCGTCCTTCCTCCTCCCTCGTCGTCGTCTTCGTTGGCGTCGTCGTCGTCGTCTTCGTCGGCGTCGGCGTCGTTGTCGTCGTTGAAGTCGTCGGAGACGTCGTCGGTGTCGTCCTAATCGTTGTCGTCGGTGTCGTCGTAGTCGGTCTTAAGAGGTTTTGCAAACCAACTTGCGGGTGGGTGGGTGGGATGTTTGCGCGAGCAGTGGAGATGACGACTTCAAGTTCAGTAGAGTGGATGCACCGCATAGATTGCACCACGCAGATTGATTGCACCGCAAATCTTGCACCAGATAATTTGCGTCGCCGTCGCATAGATTGCACCACGTAAGCTGCATCACGTAGCTTGCACAACATAGCACCGCGTAATTTGTACCACGTTGAGTGTGCAACATAAACCGCAACACATCGGAATCCACAACATGTGCTGCACCGAATACATTCTCCTTTCGAAAAGGAGAATAAACTCTACCCCCCCCGGAATTATCCGTTCCCTTTCGGGTATGTAAATCATCTGTGATTCTGACCACCCGTCCATCCTAAATATGAAATCATACCATCCCAGCCAGGCCGGGTTCCCCCCCCTGAGGTTCCCTGGTAAGAAAACACCATGCGGTTACATTTTTTGTTCTAACATAGCACTTTTTCACGAATTCCTTGCAAAAAA